GATGAGTATGAAGATTTCTGTCTTCTAGGTTGTTGCGCTGTGTAGTATGACCTTTGAAACGTTGGTAAACATCGACCAGACTACACAGCGCAACAACCCAGAAGACAGAAATCTTCATACTCATCGCCCTGATGATGGAGACAGTATGACCTCTGAAACGTTGGTAAACATCGACCAGACTACACAGCGCAACAACCCAGAAGACAGAAATCTTCATACTCATCGCCCTGATGATGGAGACAGTATGACCTCTGAAACGTTGGTAAACATCGACCAGACTACACAGCGCAACAACCCAGAAGACAGAAATCTTCATACTCATCGCCCTGATGATGGAGACAGTATGACCTCTGAAACGTTGGTAAACATCGACCAGACTACACAGCGCAACAACCCAGAAGACAGAAATCTTCATACTCATCGCCCTGATGATGGAGACAGTATGACCTCTGAAACGTTGGTAAACATCGACCAGACTACACAGCGCAACAACCCAGAAGACAGAAATCTTCATACTCACCGCAGTGAAAACCTCAAATCATAGGTGAAACTTTTCTTCACCATTCACCTTAGTAAAGTCCAGAGGTTAGGAATTTTTGGCTTAAGTACAATGAACACTGACAGAATCGCAAAACGTGCTCTTCAGTATGAACAGAAAGAACATACAGAGAGAAGAAAACCATCTTTCTTCTGTTTAATCAGAATTACGCACAGAAAACGTCCCTTCCCCTTGCATTAAACTTCCCTGGTATCCCAACGAAAAATTAAGTTTTTAAACGTCACATAAAAGCAACATATTTTTGAAGAGATGGAAATTTCTCCAAGAATACAGCTTTCTTCCAAGACGGGTTTGTTGTGTGGGGGGTCGGCGAGTGCGTCTGTCCATTACCCCCCCCCTCCCCTTTTCGCTTGAGCAAAAGCTCTCCCACTACTTCACTCACCCCAGCCTCATCAACAACAAAACACCATTCCATTGCGGCTTCCCCCTCTAAAATATGCAGCCCGAGTAGCAATCGAGGTGTGAGCCTGGGATTCACAGGGGCGCACAAAACAGCTTGCAGTCTGACAGGTTCAAGGTGCTGATCCACCCTCTGCACCCCGCTGAGACAGGTCTTCAGGCGGTGATATTGTGGACTGTGCTTCGTTCAGTTTTGAGGCCTTTTAGTCTTGTAGATGGTTATCAACGATTCGGAGGAACGTAGAGTTTCCGGTTTCATATCTGCCCTGAAGATGGTGGCGACTCGTTCATCCGAAATGTTGGAAACTAACGAGAACACATGACATCATAACTCAATAAGCCACAATCCACATTTACACGACAGTTTTAAATTTATATAACAAGACTACTTTAATCGAGAACAAGTTCGACTAAAGTGTGCTTCAATCTGGTGTAGTCCTCCTCCTCATTAATTCCTAACGCTTTCTGTCTGTACACATTTATCTGCCTTGATTCTTGCAGGAGTAATTTTTAGTACAGATACCACGGGATGAGTTGGGATACGTCAGGCAGGATAGCTGGTGTTTGGACCGAGAATCGAACTGGGGACTTACTAAAAATGAAGCCTGAGTGCTGTCTTTCATAGACACAAGTAATTTCCGAAATGAAAAGTACAAATGGACAACACTCCTCTTTTATGTTTTCACTTCATGCAATTCTTGGTATGAAAGCGCGGAAACTTGAATGGTTGGTTACTTGAGGTCACACTGAAATGTGTGCACTGCAGTTATGTCGTGTGGAATGAGATGGCTGTGGCCTACTTCGATTCATTTGTTTATCTATGGTAAGCAGCTCGGAAAATATCGCGTCGAACGACGTGATAATTGGTAAATAATGAATTTGGAAAGGCAAGGAAGAAAGCGATCGTGGCCTAGTTTAAGGCTCTATTTCGACATTTGCTTAGGCAGACCGAATAAAACCATGAAAAACCTCGGAATAGCCGTTAACCGGGCCGAGATTTGAACGCGGGATCTCGTGTTAATGAAGGAGTGAGAAAAACGTATACACTCGAGGGAGATCTTAGAAAATAAAAAAACCCACGCATTAGAGATAATTCTCAGGTTAGCTGTGAAACGAACTGCCAGCACGACTGCAACGATGTCTGAGCAAGGACACCGGAAGTATGGGGGGAGAGACTAGGAAGGATTCGGTCCGTATTTCCGTTGAGCGTGGAGTGGACGTAACACCCAGATACGTTTCATCTGTGTCTGAAAGAGGCTGTCACGCGAATAGCCCTCCAAAACAATTAATTACCTTTTTGCTTTTTACTTAAGTACGTACCCACTTACTGGCATGACGCTATGAGGAAAGAATAATTTGTAAAAATACGAAAATATGAGGCTGGAAAATAAACAAAGGAAAAAAAAAGAAAGGAAGAAAAAAGGTTGAAATGAATAACTAAACGAAAGGAACAAGGAAAAAGGAACTATATGGGTAAACATAAAAGTGATGTGGACCCGACTATATTGTATAATTAATGACGCTTTATGAAGCAGTGGGTACATTTATCTTTAACGATGGTGTGATGGAAGAACACGGTGGTTTAATATATGGCGGATGTATATCAAAACGCGTACTATGTTTTACTCAATAATGAAAAACCATTTCATAAATATTCATAATTTATTTAACATGTGAAATATTAATTACATTTACAACATATATTAATTAATTATTTCCCAAAGCAGTGACTCACTATCAGGTTCCTCTGAACACACAAAGCGAAAAAATAAACCTTTCAAATGTTAAACAAAACATTGGGTCTCCATTGTTTAATACTGTTTAAGGACATAACCACTGTTTATTCTAAGACTCCAACAAAACTCATAAATACACTCGGTGGCAAAGTGTAAGGTTACTATTGTGTAAAATATGTGGTGTATATATATATATATATATATATATATATGTGTGTGTGTGCTGGGTTTTTAAAGGTTATTGCCAAAAAATGCATTAAGAGAGGTTTCTAAGCATATGATAAAATCCACGAATGAGAAACATTATGCAACACAATAAGTCCTTGGAAAAACTGATTAAACCTACATTCTTTAATTACTTCTTCCTTTCTTCATTAAAAGAGAGTCTAGTCAAATAAATTAACTAAAATTATACAGCTGAATTACCCTTATGAAAATATTATAAGTACAACCTTAAACTCCAGTGTGGTTGACCTCTTCTCATTTTACAACAAATATAATTCGTTCTACAATTGCAGGAGTGATTCTGAATTTGTTATTATACCAATTTCGACAAATAAGATTCATTAATCTTATATTTACATATAACAAGTTATTTTCGAGTCCTCCTAATGTTATTTCATATTTGGAAAAAATATATTCCACACAAATTCACATAATTTTCGAGCTACTATCGTTTCATGAAAGTCAGAATTCTTCAATAATTTCATACTACAGTTTCTGTCATCTCAGACGTTCGCAGAGCCCTACTGGAATTTGTGGTATTCAAGAAGTATAGTAGAATTCTGGTTACTGTTGGATTAATTTATCACTGACTTTTATAAAAAAAAATCAGCGTTCGTAATGACAGAAGATAAACGGACGGACTGAGATAACACGGCACAACAATTCAATACTACTGGTTATGAACCGCTGTCCCCGGGGGAGGGAGGTTTACTGAACATTAGTGGATTTATCACAGAAAAATTATCATATTAATGAAAACCGATAAAAATCACAAATAAAATTAAAATCACTTTTTATTTTCATTTAAAACATTGAAGACATTGCAGTAACGCCTGTAAAGCTTCATTCTTTGGTATAACCCAATTTAATACAGTACAAGACAAAACTTCTACAAAAACGAAGCCTGGAATTCACGGATTAATTAACTAAACTATTCGTAAGACGACGCGTGTTTGCACGTCGGCATTATGGATCAATACACACCTACAGACGCGTTCATTTATTTCGACTATTACCAACTCAGCGCCGCCCGTTGTAACATTCTTCCGAAACCATTCTGTTCCATATTGGCATTCACCACTGAAGATTGGACGCTATCTATTATAATAACAATGTTTCTGTTGTGTTATTCAAATGTGACAGAGAGAGAGAGTAATAATTTTTAAAAGCTTTTCACAAAATAAATGGACCTACACTTTCAAAATATCGAAAGCATAAAATATTTTAGAAATACGAACAACAAAATTCAATTTAATAACAACAGAACTTAACACTAGCTTTTATACTAAATTTTAATACCGAAAGGACATATCGTTGCGCACAGGATTATAAATACAAACTCAGTCCATCTATGAATGTGTTCCCTTGAATGCACCTCAGTAGTTTCAACCGTTCGGCCACGAGGAATAAATTGGCCAGCGCAGAAACAGGAAAATTAGTCTTTTCGATTCCATGATGCACCTCTTTACATATACAAACATATTATGTACCAACCAAACCAGAATTCTCATTATGTTAAGTACTTAACTAAAGCCAAATTCCTAGAAAGCTTGAACTATTAAAATAGCTCTATCTTTTCACATTTCTTAAGACGGGCATCCGAAATGTTCAGTATACAGGCCTTGATTTAAGGTACTCATAAAACTGAAGCAGTTTCTGTGCCTACAGCTCAGTCAGTATAGTGACTAGCTACGGGCTAGACGGCCGGGATTCGATCCCCGACGGGGGCAGAGGATTTTTCCTCTAGCCTCTGCGTCCAGACCGGCTCCGGGGCCCACCCAGCCTCCTCTACAATGGGTACCGGGGTCCTTTCCCGGGGGTAAAGCCGGCCGAAACGTGAAGCTGATCACTTATATCCGTGTAGTGTCGAATTTAGTAATGAGCAAAGCTTCTTGAGGAGCCGGCGTAGTTCAGTCAGTGTAATGACTGGCTACGGACTGGGCGACCGGGGTTCGATCCCCGACGGGGGCAGAGGATTTTTCCTCTAGCCTCTGCGTCCAGACCGGCTCTGGGGCCCACCCAGCCTCCTGTCCAATGGGTACCGGGGTCCTTTCCCGGGGGTAAAGCCGGCCGGGGCGTGATGCTGACCACTCACCCCCATCTAGTGCCGAGGTCAAGGAAGAGAGGAGCTATACCTCCTCTCCCCCCAAACGCCTACATGGCGTATAGTGGGACAAACTTTACTTTACTTTACACAACGCAACATGAAGAAGCTTACCTCACGTTTCAGTCAACTTTATCACATTCAAACCTTCCATCGTTTCCTATTGGACACGAAGTTTCACTCGTCCCATATACCTACTGGGTGTGGCGATGGTGGGAATAAAAAGCTCATCATCCTTACTACAGCTTTACTTCGGTCGTTGTCGTCCGTAACCACGTGCTTTACTGAACTGCGACATCTGCCATCTTAAATGATTACAGATTTTCAAAATCGCGAGGCAATATCTTGAGACTGAAACTGAGCCATCTTCGATATTTTACTTAACAAGAATCAAAGCGAGCTCCTTCAGGAAAATATGACAATTTTTCCTGCTTTTTATCTGCTGCACCTTCCTCTGAACTTGAGGAAGCAGAAGCCGCTACTCGTAGTTCAGTCGCCGAGAAGGATGTGTCAGATTTTATCTGACAAGCCCAAGAAATGCGGTGAGAAACACGTTTTTATACATAACTATCAAGCATTTAGGAGCCACTGCATTTCACATAAGAAGCTTTCGTATTCACGTTGCAGGCTGATATAATTACTTGGTTTTCGGAATCGTCTTTGCCAAGAACCACAGTTTACAAACCACAGTTGAAAAACAATAGACGTTATTATTACGTCATAGGGACAAGTTCAGCTCTGTCTAGGTGGTACTTCCCGTTTCTCTGGTAACGCGTACTGAGAATCTCATCGAATTACTTCCAGATGCTTCGCCTTCTTGATGCTGCCAGATCTAACAGTTTCGTTATGCTCATTTACAGAAGCCGCATTGGAACGCGACAGTGAATTAATTTGTGGCTGGTGAGGTACAATTCTTCTGTTAGGAACAGTCAGTTTGGTTTCTTCAGGAGAAATCTCTTCCGGAAGATTCAACGGTGTTGCCACACCACGAGTCTTAAAACTTGGAACGCGTACCACTTCCGCCGCAACAGTGTCACCAACTTGAAACTGTAAAACATTTCTACTGAGCTCTGAAGGAATTACACGATCATAATGATTACGTAATTTAATATTGTTGTTTCTTGGATTCTTATAACGTCTGTTGAACTGATCTTCTTGGTTGAGATAATCAATAGAATTTGTGCGAGATAGATTTCCAGACGTTTCTTCGCGAGAATTTCTACGGTTACGTATAATAATCACTGCCACTGTGATCACTATGACGACACAACACACGGAACTAACAATAATTACTATAAGCGTCCAATCATCGTTTGATGTGATGGTCGGTTCAATTAACACTTCTTCAGTGGAATTAAATTCACTGGATCTATTATCCGAAATACCTGTGTTTCCGTCCACTCCACTGCCTTCATCCACGCCATCCTCAGTGGTACCGGCACTGGTATTTAACATTTCGTCCGTGTCTTGGGTTAACGACATGGCCTTAGGCAGTTCTTCAGTTTCACAGTACAGATTATCAACCATTCTGAAAGACTGTTCGTCATCAGTACCACAGCTAATGTTCTGTTCCAAACACAACGTCAACAGAGTTCTTAGATTACAGTCGTATTCTAACTCGGGATTACCAGATATATTCAGATGTGTTAGATTAACCATCTCACCAAATACTTTACCACTTATGGTCTCTATTTGGTTATATGATATGTCTAGAACCTGGAGAGAGGGTACTGGAAGGAAATTGGTCAGATCTTCAAATGTAAGATTATTAAAGCTTAAATTAAAAAACTTTAGTTCAGTATTGGAATTAAAATCAAGCCGTAAACGTATTATTTTGTTACAACTAAGGTCCAATATGGAAAGTTTATGGTTATACTGAAACAGGCTTGGATGGATGTAATCGATATTATTATTGTGTAAATCTATTTGTCTCAGGTCTTGCAGTTGGTTAAATACGTCCGGATCCACACCTTTGATATCATTATCACTTACGAAGATCGTCTTCAGAAGAGGCATGTTGTCGAAGATATTGTTGTTAAGTGTCGATATACTGTTGAACGACATATCGATGTTGATGGTGTCATTACACAGATTGCTGGGTACAGACTTCAACGAAGCGTTCCGACATCTGAACGTTCCACTCCGACACGTACAACACTCTGGACACTCCGAAGACACTGGCATCATCCGGAGCAGCAGGAACGATGCAACGGTAACAACGCACTTCAAGACGTTCTGCATGATGCGCCTGTCAACAGGAAACTGGTTGAGTGTGGTACAAGGAATAGCCAACGACTTACTCATATCTTCAATGACGTAATAGACACCAGACAGTTCATTCTAATTACGCAGTCATGTTTTTTTTTCCCATACCAAACCGCAGGACACTGATTCTTGAAATGCGTCTCTGTTCCAGGCGGACATCAACTGTTGAATAAGTCGCTAATTGGCGCTAATATGTACGTGTTAGTGACATGACGCGGCTATATTTGTGTGTTACGTCATCATTGTCATTCTGATCACAAAAGACTCGTAGAGATTCAATGGCTTGGGAACGGAAACAGCCGAGGACAAACTTGCTGGACGTTTCAGGCAAGAACGTTTGAATATTATTTCGTTCTTAATGTAACGACGCTTATTGGGAATGGTGCAGGAGGAGACGGTAGTTATCTATTTAGGGCAGGGTACATTGAGAAAAACCATTAATCCCTTTGGTAAAAATTATTATGTATCTTTACAACACTCTTTTGAGCCGGGATAGCTCAGTCAGTATAGTGACTGGCTACGGGCTGGACGACCGGGGTTCGATCCCCGACGGGGGCAGAGGATTTTTCTTCTAAAGCCGGCCGGGGCGTGATGCTGACCACTCACCCCCATCTAGTGCCGAGGTCAAGAAAGGGAGGAGCTATACCCCCTCTCCCCCAAGCGCCTACATGGCGTACAGTGGGACAGCTGTACTTTTTTTACAAAACTCTTTTAACTACATACACCATGTAGCATGAAATTAGAAGTAACAGAACTTACTTACGAATACAAAGGAATGAAAGAAGGCCGTTGTGTCCTACCTGTAGGTACTACAGGTTGACCAAAAAGTCCGGCGACCCATTCCCTGACATGTTCTGTCAAAAACCACACTACATTGAAATAAGAAAATGTTATACGAAGTGTTGGAAATGTCCACCGCGTTCAGCGGTGCATACATTCACGCTTTCCTTCATGTTTTATGAAAACACGTGAACCGTTCCTGTGTCACAGAAACGGTTAACCAGACGAGGAACTATCGATTATTGTCACAGGTGAATAAGGAAATATGTCACGAAATGTATTCTGGCTAGTTGAGTTGGGGGTAGCTGGTTCAAATCTCGGTCAGAATACCAACTGCCCTGACGAAATTTGTAACAGGTCTTGTTCCCAACAGCCTACCGTGACTCTATATAATATGGCAGCGAGAATTTTTTGATTTAAAGTGGCCAATTGCAAGATTTATCCCAGCATTTTCCTGAAAGGAATAAAGAAAGCCATGACACATCTGAGTCAGGACTGAAATTCAAGCTGGTATTTTGCGTATACAAATACAGAGCGTTATAGAAGGTCTGACACGGGAAAATATTGGTTCGAAAAGTGTTGACATTTGATATAAAATATTATGTCGGATAATTTCCTTTTAAACTAATGCATTAATTTAATATTTTAATATTTTCCGTCAAATCACAATTTTTAATAAGATAATAAAATATAAAATATTTAAAATATCATTTCACGTTCCGCATCGAATGATCGATTTACAAATTGGAACGTTTATATTTTATTATCTTATTAAAAATTGTGATTTGACGGAAAATATTAAAATATTAACTTAATTCACAATATGACGCAAATATACTACCTAATGCATTAATTTACAAATAATATAAACTTGATTATTGGAATGCACTGAATTATTACATTTCTTGTTTTTGCACATAACTGAGACAAAAACATGTACTTTTAGCACCCAGCTTGTCAGCAGGTCTATAATTACGTAACGTAATATTGGACTGGCACTAAAAACACGCGTATATACAAAATATACTAACATTTTTGATAACGTAAATGTTACCGATACATTACCAATGTACAGTTACGCAAAATATCATTTCAACGCATTTAACAAGAATGGTTTTACATTCCGTATAACACAAAACCGGTCACAGGATCATGATGCACAGATAGTTAATAACACGGTTGTATACAGGTAAGTGTTGTGTCCTGTTGCATGCCTTGTACTATCACAAGTCTGCAGTACAAACTAGAATGAAAGATGTTTCCTCAAATACACTCTAGCGCCATCTGCATACGTCATAGCACGTACTAGACAGGCATGTCACGCTGGAATCACACGTCTACAGAGACGATTTGAACACTTCTTTTTGTCATTATGAGTACTTCTTTGTATGATTTTGGCTACGGATACAACGAAAGATATCGACAGACTAATTCTCAATGCAAATTAAAGTATACTAATATGTCTAGCGGTTAGAACGCTGGCCTTGTAATCCTGGGGTCTCGGGTTCGATTCCCGGCGGTGCTTGAATTTATAACTTGTGTTGGGCAAGGCCGTGGTCTAGGCAACACGGAGTTTTCCTCCGGGGGCTTCCACGGTTTCTCTGTGGCATCCCAACAATTACTCCATTCACACACAGAAGAAGGCAATGGCAAACCACTTCTGGATCATCTGCCAAGAACGTATATGAACATGTCCCAGTCCGAGAAAAGGATGGAAGGATCCTGTTCATATGGACCTGTCGTCAGACAGAACACTAAATAATAATAAGATGAGGTGGTCTAGCTGTTAGAACGCTGGCCTTGTAATCCTGGGGTCTCGGGTTCGATTCCCGGCAGTGCCCGAATTTATAACTTGTGTTGGGCAAGGCCGTGGTCTAGGCAACACGGAGTTTTCCTCCGTGGCATCCCAACAATTACTCCATTCACACTCACACAGAAGAAGGCAATGGCAAACCACTTCTGGATCATCTGCCAAGAACGTATATGAACAGGTCCCAGTCCGAGAAAAGGATGGAAGGATCCTGTTCATATGGACATGTCGTCAGACA